TACTGATTATATAATATAATATATTATATTATAGTTCTAATTTTTAATTATATTATAACTGAAATATTAATATTTCTTATGTAATATTATAATATGTTTTATAATATTGTAATTATATTAATTATTTTAATAATATTATTATATTATATATTATAGTTATATAATATGTTATTTAATAATAGTTTTATTGTATTATATTAAACATAATAATAAATATACATTATATTGTAATTATATATATTATATTATAATATAATATAGTCGTAATTTTTAATTATCCACAGCAATTTAACCTCATAATTTGCCAAACGTTATTACACTGATTTTAGAACTAACACGTATACTATAATTATAGTTTATCAAACACTCAGCTGCTTTTTCCTTTAGCACAGCTAAAAATAATTTTTTCAAAATCTACAGCACTACCAAACTAAGCCTATATTGGCTTTTTTTTTATTTTACCAATTTGAATTTTTAATTTTAATTTTGTTATAGTTAAAAGCTCTCATAAAAAGTCATATTTAATTTTTTTCTGTTACAGTAAAAAACTCTCACTTAAAATTATATTTCATCTTAAATTGAAAACTCAAATCAACGAACTAAACAAGACTATATTTGTTATAATGAATTAGAGAGGTTGAAGGCTTGAAGTTAACTATTTGGTATGATCTTTGTGGAACTATATGAAAGAAATGTATCAGCAGATTTGAATTGGTATTTAATTCGTGGGTGTATCAATTTAAGGGGTATATTAGGAAAATTGACATTTGTATATTGTCCCTTAAAATATTTTAGCAATAGAATAAACAAGCTTGTATCCCGCGCTTTGTTGCAGAATACAGTGTAATAAAATGGTTATGACATAAGACAATATAAAAATATTTATACTGCATATACATTTACAAAAGCAAAATGTTATATGTACAATGTCAAATATAGTAATTTAAAAGGAATGTAATAAGAATAAATACATACACATATTAAATAGATGTAGAAATATAAAAATAATTTGACTTCTTTATTTGTTATAAGACTTCTCTTCTTCACAGGTGATCGAATATATTGGCAATCTTTTGTAACAGTAACACCATAAGCGAAATATGGGGAAAATTATAATTTACAAGCTCTGTAAAATGAAATTAAAAGTAGTAAATAAGTAAAAATGGAAAATGTATTAATAGAAAATACAAATGAAATGTTATAAGAGTAAAATTTTTAAACAGTAACTCTAGTTCAGATATAGAAAATTTTCATCAATATTGTGATGAGTAAAATTAATTTCTATATTTATAATTATTTTGTAGCATCTGTTGTAAATGCCTTCCAGTAAAAGAAAAACACTTAGGTAACTACAAAAATTCATAGATCATATTAAAGTATTATATAGATAATAAATGATCAAAATAGTTCATGAGAAAAACAAACTGATTGAAGAAAAAAATGAAGAGTTAAAATGTCAGTGTATCTAAGGTTGTCCAACAACCACCAATTGAAAGAAAGGGAAAAATGAAAAACAGTAGCCTAAACGGAACAAAAAATGGAGAAAAGTATCTGACTTTGACAGAAATAGGCAGAACGACTTGATAAAAAGAATGTAAAAATAAATACCTGAAGAGAATACTATGAAATTAAATATAAAATTGAAAGAAAGATGTTTTAAAATGTCTGAAGACTATATATAAAAACAGTGTTAGACAAAGCAGAAAGTAAAATATCTTTATATGCAGAAAGAGGGAAAAAAAAGAAAAACAGAGCAACAGAGATGATGAAGTTTTTTATTCCAACGAAATATTTCATAAATCACTATCAAATAAGAAACAAAATGACAATAATAAAAACTAAAATAGTATTAATATTAACATAAAATTGACGTATGTTTAAACATGTTTTTAGTGACCAAATATTAATAAGGGACCAGATATAGGAGAATATAAGTACAAATTAATGAAAACTAAGAAAATAGAGGAAGAAAAAAAATTAGGATAAAGAGACAAAA